TTACGTAAACGAACACATTACGTATAACGTAAGTATCATATTCGCTACCTTAATCAATTTACGTATACGCAACGTATGTGTGATATATGCTACGTAAATCCTATTCCATATACTTTATGTATGTGTGATATGCGTTACGTATATAAACATTCCACTATTCATAGGTCTTCATAGCTTTCATTTAAGCCAACAATTTAGCCTTTTTTTGCTTAGACGAATCTTTTTGCTTCGATTCTTGCCTCTTGTCCCTGCTCAAACACCTATTGATGCCACAGCCACCGTATTCCTCAGAGCTGGCCCCCAGTGGCCTTTGCGGCACAAGTGAGGAGGGCCATGAAAGGATGCCATGATTAAGAGTGTATAAAAAGAAGATCACAATAAAATTGAATTGAATTGAAAAATGTTGCCACAAATATACAATATTGAATAGCGATTACTTAGTAGATTGTTTTCATAAATATAAGACAGAATTTTAAATATATAAAAATGTTTTTAATCATTAATCATTAATTTTATAAATAACATTTTTAGTTATTTATATAATTATTAATATTTATATATTTTGGTGGCTTTGAAAAATAGTTTGGAAATTATTTATAAATATTTGTAGTCACCTTAAAAAATAGCAAATTGATTCATCATGAAACAGCAAGTTCAATTGAGTGTATTAAATGACTAATACTAGCGCTAACTTATACAGCTGTTTACTTTTTCAATGTATTAAATACATACAAAAGATACTCCATTTGTATATGCATGCATCTAATTATACAAATGTACCTGAAATAGAATCTGTCTTATATTACTTAAATATTAATGTAAGCCTTGTCTCTCTCTATCAGCTTAAACGGATGTGAATAAATGTTTACTCCATTCCATTTACGCTATATATGCTATGCTCATGGAGCCACCAGGCCACAAAAACATGCCATTCGATGGAGGCAGCTGTACTTAAATACAAATTAATTAACTCTATCGGGCTGCTGCTGCTGCCAGGCGGGGGGCTGCGGCCCGTTTAATGGTTTCCCCGCCCCGTAATGATGGGGCCGATGACGATGACGATGCAGAGAGCATTGGGCATTGCAGACAATGGGCTCGGCGTGCGATGTGCGAGGTGCGAGGTGAGAGTTGCGCGTGGCTCATAGTTTGCGGCATGCCTAATCCTGTCAATATAATTCAGTGACTTGGAAAATTATATTTTTCATACGTCAGATGCGTAAAACATGGCCGCAAGTCCTCGCTGCGGCACGTCGCTCAAGTAAATCCTTGTTACGCACATAAATAATGAAATTATGGAGATTAGAAAGTGTTCAGGCCTAGCACAAGGACAACCAACGAGCATCGAGCAACGACAGCAACGGGCCCCAAGCCAATACTTGGCACCCAGGCGCAATTGATTATAGATCGTTGCGGCTGTCGTTGCTGTCGCTGTCGCAGTCGCAGCCTCAGTCGCTGTCGCTGTCGCCGTTGCCGTTGCCGTTTCATGCGCCGCTTTTGTTGCCAGATAAAAGCAATAAGCGCCCCTTTTATGGGCCCGGGCAAAGTGCCAGACAGCGCTGTGAGGCCATCTCGCATATGTGGCCATGCCTCCGCCATTCGCCGCCCATTTTGCTAACTTCCGGCCGGGTTGATCTCTGGCGGGGCACTTAATTTTCGCTCGCATTGACACGTGGGACTTGTGCTCTTGTCTGCTGCTGTATGCCTCTCTGCCAAAGTGTGTGAGAGTGTGTGAATATTCAATAAATGACACCGTTTTGTCTTAAGGGAATTATGTATATTAGTTTTGGGCGCATGAAAGGCGCTCGGAGAGCTTAAAGGTCTACTGTCTGCTTACTCTCGATTCCCCGCTGAGAAATCGTGTAATTTATTTATTAATTTTGTTTATTAATAAAGCGTTCAGCGCTCAAGTAAATCGCATTTGCGTCAGCTTTGCACAAGCGCAGAGAATTTAGCTCACAGAGTAGTTGTGCTGGAAGGGAATATTTATATTGAGTGGCTGAAAAAAAAATCACAAAAAAAAATCACACAAAAAAAAAATTATATAAAATAAATTTAAAAAAATAATAATTATAATAAATAAATATAATAAAATAAAATTTTTAAAATATATATAATAAATTAAAATAACATAAATAAATTAGCATAAATATTTAAAATAAATATAAATGGAAACTTTATTGCTTCTGCTTCGTTTATATTGCAAATTAAACTCAAGTGCTCCAATAATTGTGAAGTAGAGTTGAATAGACTAGGAATCAGTGTATCATTCATTCCCCTCATAAGTCACTCGAATAACTGCAAAAGTTGTAGAAGCACGCTCATCATGCTCTCCTTGCACTTTGCAATAAAATTACTTCGAGTTTGAAACTCCATTTTCAGATGAAGCGTTGCAGTTGTATCCAATAATATTCACACTAACATATAAAAATATAGAGCATGCTCTGAGCATGAAAAATTTGAACTTTAATCGTGTTTGCCTCTTGAAAGTATTGACCAGCGCATTTCATTCTATTTAAAAGAGCTGGCAGAAACTTTTAGTTAAAGTGAGAGAGATAAGTTCTGCAGCTGAGTGGCGTCGGAAAAGCACAGATTAAAGTGTCTGTGTATTGGCATAAGCAGGTCAAGTGGGAAAGTGAGAATGAAGGCAGAGCTTATGGAGAAAATTGCGATAAGGCTGGGGTCGTGAAAGAATGTTTAATAATTTAAATGTGATATTTAAGCATTGTTTTTTATTTATTTTTCATATTCGTTTCTCTTTCGCATATAAATGTTGTATGTACAGCACATAATATAAATAAAATATAAATAAATAAAATAAAACAATATAATTTTCAATTAAAAATATATTTTAATAAATAATAATTAATATAAAATATCTTAAATACAAAATTTTATTATAATTCTTTCATATTTTCGTCCGTATTTATCTTTTCATGAATACATGAATTTAAAAAATTAAATAAATAATCTATTAACTTCTTAAATTATATAATAATTAATTATTTTCTTCTAAATATATTTTTTATGTGCCAAATTTATATTTAAATAAATATGATTTTTAATCAATAATATGTGATTCATATTAAATAAAATTATATATTATTATTACTTGATTTGTTCGTCCATCTGGGCCTTCTTTATGATTTAATGTAAATGTAATAAAATATAAATACCTAAATATAAACTGAATAAATATATATATAAATATATATAAAAATATATATAGATATTTTTTTTTTGCATACAAATTAGTTATGAATTAATGCACATTGATTACTAAAAAATAAAGTTTAAAAAAAATAAAAATTCCTTCAATCAAATTGATGCGCTCGAAATGGAGATGCGAGAAGACAAATTGAGCTCTGTTTCTTTTTGAATCTAACCCTTGAGAAGGACTTGAAGTTGCATTGAATAATCTCAGTCCAAATAATGCAGCTTAATAAAGTAAGCCTAAGTAGAGCTGCTACTGGCAGAGTTATTAATATACAACCAAGTTGAAGTCAGCTTCAACAGCTCACCTTTAATAAAGTCCACAGCCATTTCCAGGCCGTACGAGTCCTTGTCGCAGTCGTCGAGTATGTGCGCACCTAGCGTTACGTTTGGCAGCAGATGCATCTCGTTGATGCGATCGATGGTGTAGAGCATGGCCTCCAGGGCCTGGATGCCGCCCTGCGGCATGATGGGACCGCAGGTGATGCTGTCCTCGCGCGAATGCACCATCATGAGGCCGCCAATTATGACGTCGCCCTCGACGATTGCTTCGCGCTTGACCGGCCAATGGCGCTGCGGCTGGCTGGCATAGAGGCGATCCTGCAGGAAGTCGACCGAGTCGGGCAGCGAACGCAAATATTTGCCGCCCAGCTCCGATATCAGTGGCAGCATCAGATTGTTGGCCTGATTGTTGTTGTTGTTGCTATTGCTGTTGGTATAGTGTGGCGTAACGTGGCGTCCACGATGGCGCCCGGAGCGCGTCGAGGGACCGCCAGCGGGCGACATGCTGAGCGGCAGCTCGATGTTCGCATAGCGCTGATAGCCCTCCAAATCAAAATGATTATTGACATAGTCTAGCTGCTCCACCACATGTTGCTCCAACTGTGGCGGCTGCCGCTCCGCCAGCTCCTCGTCGTTGACATAATCAGGAAATGTTGCCGGCGTGGCCGAGTGCAGCCAGTGCGAGTGTTTGCCCAGCTGTTGCTGTCGCTCTTCCAGCTCAAGCGCCTTATAATGATTTTCCCTATAAGTCCGGCCATGAACACGATGCTTATGCTGATGCAGATGCTTTCGTTGCTGCTGCTGCTGGTGCTGCTGCTGCTGATGATGATGATGATGGTGATGATGATGGTGATGGTGGTGATTATTGTGATGATGCCTCACGGCCGTGTAGCTCTTGAATTGTTCAACTGGAAAAAGCAGCTGCTGCTCTGGCGCTGGCAGCTCCCTCTTTGGCTGCTCCTGCTTCTCCTGCTGCTGCTGCTGCTGTTGGCCATCGTCCGCGGACCACTTATCTCGTATATCACCAATAACCGCACTCTCCGCGCTGCCCGCGCTCGGCTCGCCCAGCGCCAGCAGCACAATAACACAAGCGAGCACAAGCAAACGATTCGAGCATGCTAATTTCATGTTTGCATCGACTTTAATCTCGAGTTGATTCACAATTTATTTTGCTATAACTTGAGTAGATATATAATTTATATCGAATTTATGCCCATATTTCGCATTTGAAAGTTCCATTTTTTGGCAAAAACTTTTTAGAAAAATCAAATTTAATAATTAATTTCA